GAATAGGAAATGTAAACAATTCATCAAAGGACATATCCTGGGGAAGACGGGAACACAACCCCATTACTGTAGAGTGAATGTATGTGAATCATGGGGAAGGGTTGAGGGCAGGAAGGTTCAGAAGGGCTGGGTAGACAGATCATGGCCATTGGCCTAAGGATTTGGACTTTGCTCAGTAGGTAAATCTGGAGCCATGAGACGTCTTTATGCGGGAAGTGCTCAGCACAGGCTGCTGCTTGGAAGCTTGTTCTGGAAGCAGGTATAAAATGACTTGGGGCAAGGGGTTAGGAAGGGCTAGAGAGACAGGAGGAAGGAGGTCTTGTGGGAAGTGTAGCATAGTAGTAAAGGCAGTCCGTCCGTGAGGAGGCAGGCAGTAAGGAAAACAGTGTTCTTGGTAGGGGTCCTGGAATCCATTTCAGACTCCTAGCCGCCATCATCTTTACAGAAATAAATCAGTAGGCCTTCCCTATGGGGCAGCGGGGTGGGTTCTAAGCACCAGGCCTTCGGTTAGCAGGGAGGGCTTAACTGTTTCACCACAGAGGCCTTGAAAGTAAGGTAGTCATGCTAGAAATTTAAGAGGATGGATCAACCAAAAAGCCATTACCAGGAAACCTTAAGCAACTAAATCGATTGTATTACTGATGACAGAAGTAAGGGCTTGGTCAATAGGTGTTAGACTGGAAAGTTCTTCAATCTCAGTTCTATTACATTTGACCTGATAGAAACTAGACGGCAATGTAGTAAACACACACAGGGATACATTCTCTCTCCCCTGTTGGGATGATAAACAATGAGGGTAATGCTTCCCACGTTCCTCTCTCACAAATCAAACCCTTAAAAACCCCAGGTAATGCAAGCTTTCTCCAGAGAGAGGCTACGGCAGCACTCACCCGTCAGTCTGATTCTCCCTGTGGGCCCTCTCGTGGCCTCCACACGGGTCTTAATATGTTCACATCTTGAGGAAATAGAAATGCATGCAAACTACACAGCAGAAAGCCAGTTATCCCAATACAGAGTCCCTTTTCCTTCTGGCCAAAGGAAATGGTTGTTGATGCTAGGAGGAGTTAACTTATAACAACACATGCCAGGGAGATGATGTCAATGAGGGCGTGGTTAATCCCTCACAAGTCAGAAATTCCTTCAGCCCCAAACATTTCCTCATTCAGTCTCACCTACATTGCTGATCTCTCTACTGACTTAACTCCTTCAGACAGTAGGGGAAAAACAGCGTTGGGTCTCTAGCACTCTGATCTTTTTACTTCAGCCTTTTTAAAGGGGGAGAGTCATTGGAAAGCCACTGAAATATGTTTTTAAAAGCCTACCATTATTTTGCAGACTCCTCAGAAACCCTGTTTCCACCCCTTCTGTGACTATTTAATTCCAAAGAAGGGACTGAGGATTCAGTAGTACCTCGGGAGAGAGAATGGGTGTTTATTAGGCATTACATTTGAGGATGGCATGCTTATCTTCATTGCCAAAGACTCCGGAGCCATGCTCCTCACAGAGTTCCCTGGAAACACCTTTCTGGAAAAGGGAAGCCTACAAATATTTTTCAAAATAAAGCCATCCTTATTTTTAAGGTCAAATAAATAAAATCCTAAGCTTTTGAATATGCAAGTGGTAAACTCTACTGGTATACAAATAGCTTTTCAAACAGAGGGCGGTAACAATTATTTTTTAGACCGTAAGCGCTAGGTGATGAGGACCCCTAACATCAAGCCAATGGTGTACAAAATTCCTGATCTCCAACAGCAGGTTTATAATTTGTACTGGCTCGGAAATTGAGAATTTAATTGTACCGGTATTTTCAGATTTCAGAATGTTTCGGCCAGGTGCAGGCATTTTATTCTGTAGACTTGTGCTAGCTGAGAAACTGATCTTAAAGAAAGCAGGTAAGCCACTGCCCAGAGTAAAAGGATGAAACCCTGGAAGGACACATGTACCTGACTGCTTCCCGAAATTTTCCTTGAGGAGTGAGAAGCCACAGGACAGAAAAGAAAGCTAGCTTTTTCAATTTCATATACTTACTTCATCATGTGTAATCTTTCTTAGTGGGCATGCCTTCCATTTAGTATTAAAAACTAATGATGTTGGTCTTGTTGCTTCTGTAATCTTGGGATTACATTACATGAGCAAATGCATTCAGACCACTCTTCCCAAATCAGAGAAATGAACACATGATGTCCTACCTACAGGTAAATACCTGCATAAAGACCCAGACCAGGTAAACCCATAGAGACAGCAACTGGATTAACAGTTCCTTAAAGTTATGGTTGGTGGGTGATGGGGACCTAATAATAATGGTACAAGGATGAGGAAAATATTCTAAAAATGACTGTAGTGATGACAGCACAACTCTTTTAATACCGTATATTAAAACCATTGAATGGTATGGTATGTGAATGATATGCCAAGGTAACTGGTATTTTAAAAAAACGACATAGAACAATGCAGTTGTGCTCTAAGTATATAAATACTGATATGCGCAGAAGGAGGTACATCAACAGACAGAGTGATGGACGCACCTGCACAGCGTCATTACTCATCAGAACGAACGTTAGCCTGGAAGAACCCAGAGCCTCCTTGACAAATGCAGTAACAATTATGGATCCACTGCCTCCCCCTTTGGGCTGACTGCTTCCTGAATTGCTTCCCTAACTTTACAAATTATTGGAAAGAGATAGGAGATTTGATTCCAATTCTACAACCATTTGTTTTGTCCCCCATAGACTTAGAAGCTGGTCAAATATTTCCTCCATTCCAAGGAGGATGACGAACTGAGAAAAGAGAAGATTTCTGGCAGCTTCAAAGACACGCATAATGAAAAACAAAAGTTAATTTTACTTAGTTCCGGGGAACCTGAGGGAGTTGGAGCAACTTTCATACAGTACTCTATAAGATTTGAAGAGAATAAATACATATATATATATATATATATATATATATATATATACACACACACATAAGGAGGGGCTTTCAAAAGTTGGTGGAAAATGGAATGGCAAGATAATGGGCATTTTTTCATGAACTTCTTGAAGCCTACATA